TTTTCACGGACAGATAATACATAGGGACCTTCAAGGAAAGAGCTCACTCCTTTCTAACAGGCCGGCAACGCAATTGCAATTCCCCTGGTGTTGCGGATGGTAATGGACGGCGGTAGTCACTTACCCTCAGGGAGCCGTATGCTCGTTTGCCCCCTCTTCTATTAAAAAAAATACCGTGGCAACAATGGCAAATTTTCCCTATGAACCAATCTAGGGCGGAGGTCTATGGTGAGCAGTGGATTTGTGATAGGCTGTATTAAATTTATTTATCAATTACAGCAGTTCAAAAGACATGACTGACACTAAACACGGTCCTGAGCCACCTGCATCCATCGAATGTAATGACTATACGTGGTAGAACCACGCTATTATAGTTGTAGCAATGGGTCGGCTCGACCGAGGTAGTACCACAGAAAGAAAATTAGCAGCTCAATGCTGTTGTTTAGTATGATAAGTGAAGAAAACCGGAAACTCTTTTTTATTGGAAACGAGGCGTTCCATCTTAGTCCTCAGGGGCGACAACGCATCTGAATGTTGATACTTAATCGAGGATAAATGTAGATGTCTATGGGTTAAAGCATCCACTTACCATCAGGTGGTCTGTGCTCGTTTGTCACCCTTATTATAATAAAAAATATTAATGAATAAAAATATCTGCAGCCTTTTTTGTTTCTAGTTGGTAAGAGCGATTGTCCGTGGACTGCAGTGTACACTTTATTACGTGAACATGTTACTTGTTCCATATAATGACTTTCTTATTATATTAATAAGCAAGTGAAAAATTTATATTAAAGATGAACTGAACAAAAATGGTTATTATAATATCAAGGAATACATAAATGAAAATAACTATAAGGTGATCGCCATCATGGTGGCTCTATTCTAATTCTAAATCATAGAAAATATTGTACAAATTTTTGTAATAATTATTGTAATAATTATTTATTTATTTTATAACACAACAGCAAACCTTTTTTACATAAAATCATTGATTCCCTGCCCCTGAACTAGTAAAGTTAATTAATAAAAAAAAGTTATATAATATGTATGTTTAAAAAACTGCGAAACTAACCTGTAAAAACGAATTAATAAAATTAACATCGAAATTGAGAACAAAGGTATTCGCCGAACCGAAAATTGGTTATGGATTCGAATCTTGTACTCACGACGCACTAGCCAGTTCTGATCGGCCACGTCACTTTTGGGCAACACTCCGGTAACGGGGGAGGGAGGTGGAGAATGCTCACAGCATACCCCGCAGCCGGCTGCATGGTTATGTGGAGACTTTTACCCACTAAACTCCACCTTTTTGGGACTGGCTTAATGATCTGACGAGAGATCTTTCAGCCGTAAACGGACGTGACCCTCCTTGGCAGAAAGGAGGGCGCAAGCCAAGTCACTTTTCAAACGTTGAACTAATTAGGTAACAGGGTGTACCACAAGCGCTCTAACGGTTGTATTGAATTTCGTTTGTTGTGAGATTAGACCGACTTAGGCAAACTATTTCTACATTTTAATCCTCAAGGGTGACAATGCATCTGAATTTTTATCTTAATTGAGAATCAGCATCCACTTACCATCGCGTAGACTGTGTGCTTGTTTATAATTTTCATTCTAAAAAGCATACTTTTTTAATCACCCAAAAAGAAAAATATTGTTGATTAAAACTACATACACATATTTTAACGCATTTAATTTACTTGTTTTAAATTATTTTTAATTCCCGACGTTTCGGGTGCTTTAACGCGGGGGACTAAGGTAGCCGGGCCCTCAAACATCTCATTTAACCCCCCCCCCCTACCCGTAGGTACGCATCAATAACAACGTTAATTAGTTCAACGAAATAGAATAGGTACAATATTGACTAGAAAACATTACAAAAACAGTGGTAGGAAGTTCCACGAAAGTTAAGAATGAGTCATAAAATAGCAGATGTTAAATTTGTAATTTCTTTTGTCATTTGTTACTGTATGTGTGTATCTTTTATGTATGTATGCATTTTTATTGTAGCTGTAGTTCCTCCTAAATAATATAAATAAATAAAGCTCGACTGTCGCTTATGGGGGTATAGATAAGTAGCAGTCTCACTTATGGAGGTCCATGAGGGAAAACGACTCTCTCTTACAGAGGTTTCTGTTTCTCGCTAATAGAAGTTTTGAAGTTTTGAATTAGGGTCCTGGCTATTGCTCTCACTTATAGAGTTTTCCCACTTACCCAGGTTTGACTGTATATGTATATAATATATAGTTTTATTCAATTTGTAGTGTTCGCGTAAATTTAAGAAATTAAAAAATATTGTTGTTATAATTACTATTTCATCAATGGTGTACCCATATCATGTACGTGTGTCACTTTTATTACGTAGAAAAAGAAATTGCATTTCTTTTCGAACTTGTCGATTGATATACGCAATCTAGAGACTCGAATAAATGTTGTATAGGTTGAGGTCAACGCCATGAGGCAAGCGGCCCGGAACAAGTGTCATTTTTGCAGTCAACGTTATTTATACATATGTATCTACTTTACGAGATATAAATACATTCATTTACTACAAGTCAAAACGCGACAACGTTATTTCAGTTATGTAGTAGAATAGAATAGAAAGATTTCTATTCAATATAGTTATATATATATATATATATATATATATATATATATATATATATATATATATATAATACTTATTGAATGTCATTTAAATGTTACTAAACTACGTACTAGTAGGTTAGGAAAAAAACTACTGTCCTGGGAAGAAACGGGCAGACTCATTTTTTTAAAACTTTTTTCAATTTTTTTTAAAAGCGTTACCCCCGCACTAGGAGTTACTCCCGTAACGTGGAGGCAGCTTACAAACATAAATTGCACAAGGACAAACATTCAGACTCGGAACACTTATTTGTAGACCATACAAATACTTGTTCCGTGCGGGTTTCGAACCCGCGGCCCCCAGTGCGGCCACTCATTGCTAAGCCACTTCGTCACGGAACCGTCAAAACATTAAAAATATTAAATCTTTATGATAATAAAAATGTTTCTTTAAAAATCCAAATCTATACCGTTATAAGATATTACGATAACACCACTATCTGGATGACTTGTTTTGCCATCTGGAAAAAAATAGGGTGTAACATGTGAACGGAGTAGAGGCCTATGGCACTGATATTTTACAAAAAATTAAGATAAACATTTTGAATTAAACGTACAACACAACAACAAACAAAACGTGTAACAAAGTAATTGTTCAAAAAATATTTTTTTGAACAATTACTTTGTCTTCGAGCCTGTAACCCTGCGAAGTGACGAGGTCAAAGATGCCTAAATTATTTGTTTTATTGCCTTTCGTAAAGTAGGGTGGATTTGATTTGAATTTCGATAGATTTTTTTATTAAGATTAATTAATTTATTTATTTAATTTTTTTAAATATCTAATCCATAGGCCTCTACTCCGTTCACATGTAACACCCTATTTTTTTCAGACGGTAAAAAAGGCATCCAGTATAAAGGTTCAACATAACCTAAAGTATTTGATTTATAAATACTAAGACTAAAGTATTTGATTTGAACTAAATCTATTAAGCACTACACAATTGAGCACTACAGTGCTCAATAGAATATATATATATCATAGCTCTACCACGTACATAGCTTTATACGTCTATATACGTGGTAGAGCCATGCTGCAGTAATATTAGTAATGTAGTTGTAGCACGAATGGGTCGGCTCGACCGGGGAAGGACCACGCTCTCACAGAATACCAGCGTGAAATAGTAGCTTAATGCTGCTGTGTTTCGTATGGTGTGTGTAGAGAACCGGAGACCCTTTTTACTGGAAACGAGGCATTCCATCTTAGTCCTTACGGGGGACAACGCATCTGCATTTTGATTCGTAGTCGAGGATAGATGTAGATGTCTATAGGTTACAGCAACCACTTACCATCAGATGGACTGTGTGCTCGTTTGTCACCATGTCCTATAAAAAAAAGATAAACGATCAGACACAAAACAATTGAAGCGGCAAACTTACTTATCGCCCAGTCGTCCACCCGACGTTAAGTGGCTATTGAAGTCCACGGGCCCGATGTCCAGATGCCCGAACAAACCGACACCAATTCCAAACAATAGCGCGGAGTGTGTGGATATTCTGACACCGTCTCTACGCAGTTGTCCCAAAAGTATCACTTGCCTCACCAAAAATATCTGACAAAAATCTGAATAAGGTATGACTTATAGAAAATTACATCGCCATTTTCTTTTCCTTTTCTTTTCTTAAATTACATTTCTCTCTCATTTGGTAGGGGTCCGTCTTGGCCGGGGAAGGATTACGCCTTGCTCTCACAGTAAAACCCCCCTTTTTTTTTTTTCTTTTTTTTTTTTTTTACTTATTATTATCTTATTAAATAAAAAAAAATAAATTATTAAAAAAAATACGAGCGTAACTCTCAAGAGTATAACAGCACGATGTTGTTTTTTCGTATAGTGAGTGACCCTTTTAACTGGAAACGAAGCTTTTCAACTTAGGAACGTCCAATTGTATAGATTACTAATCTATATTAAATTATTCTATTCAGTTCATCCATCTATTAGAACGTATGAAAGTCCATGAAGAATACAGTTTGGAATCTCCCTTATGCAACTACGCTACTATAGGTATTGCCTACAGGCAAAGTTTATTTTAGCAGATTAAGATTCCATTTGAGTTCTCACAAGACGCGGTGAGTTTTGTCCTTACATAAAGCAAGTCGCCGGTCGCATTCAGCCATTCCATAGATTCTCGCGCTTTCGTATTGTACGGAGTATGGAGCAATATTGAAGCTTGGCGCTTCTCGAGCACTGTGTCAAAGCTACAGATCCGAACAGAACCTATTCCAAAATTTATATACTAAAGTGTGGTTATCCTGCCCTTTTTCTGTACAGTTGTGCTGTGGTAGAGAAGTAGCTAGGTGTTTCGTCAGTCAAGCTGGGTGATAGTGCGGCGCGTACAACTGTTGTCAAACAATGATGATGCTGATGAGCTCGGAGCGGTTGGTGACCATTCGCAGCGTCTACCGTCAGTTGCTACTTGTCATCCTGAGTGAGTACACGGCCTTGTATTTACGAACTAGAGTTAAATAAGAGCTATTGCGATTAACATGTCGTTTATTCCTGAACTAAATAAACAGAGTATAACCTCCTAAAATATAACAGGACGTATATTTTTAAACATTTAAAAACGGTATGGAAACTAGTATTTACTTCTGTATAATGGAAGCAGTTGGAATACATATTTCTTTTTTTGTAGAATAATGGTGACAAACGAGCAAACAGTTCACCTGATGATAAGTGTATGCTGTGGCCCATAGACATTTAGTTCATCAAAATGCAAATGCGTTATCAACCCTGAGGACTAAGATGGAATGCCTCGATTCCAGCAATCATTTTACTGGAATCGAGGCATTCCATCTTTCTCCGGTTCTCTACACTCACCATACGAAATAAAGCAGCTGTAAGCTGCTATTTTACGCTGGTATTTTGTGAGAGCTCTCTATTTTCTGGATGTTAGCGCTGTTAGTCTATACGATTCTTACAGTTTCATCTGACTCAAGGCAATGAGGTGAGGATGATGATGAGTGGTTTATGACTTGGTATTGTTACCAATCATCATGTCGCCTTTTTAGGCGGTTCTGTGAGAGCGTGATCCTTCCCCGGTAGAGCAGACACATTCGTACTACAACCATAATCTAGCTACAGCATGGCTCTACAACGTAAAATATATTTATTATATCTACAACATTTCCAAAAACTATGAAAATCAGACTGTTTACGGGGGAGGGGATTAGATTTTACACCGTAAATTACAATTTACGCTGTGCAATACGCTACGATGATGTTTGTTATGTAGGTATAACTCAATAGCCTTCATTGTAAATTATAATTTATACCTATAATATTATTTAAAAAAGAGTTGGTCCTTCCCCGGCCGACCCGACCCATTTGTGCTACAACATTCGGTAAAAAATTGCGCAAGGACAAACATCCTGACCCGGAATAATTATTTGTTCTTACCAGTGTTGAAACAGCGAGTACAGTTTACTTTATTTATTTCCATAGCATTATGTCGTATGGTATTTTGCTATGGGGACACGGGACCGACACTGAAATTATATTTATTTTACAGACGAGAGCCATTAGAGCAATATATAATTTAAAACCAAAAGAGTCACTCAGACAAAAATTTAAGGAAATTAGTATATTAACTCTGGCCTCTCAATATATTTATGAAAATGTAATGTACGTACTCAATAATAAACGTGGTTTTGCAAAAATAAGTGATATTCATTCTGTAAATACTAGGAAACAGACACAAGCTGGTAGTACCAGTTACTCGACTCCACCGAGTCAGTAATTCATTCTTGGGGCGATGTATACGCTTTTACAACAAAATCCCAGAAAATATACAAAATTTGTCATACGCAAAGTTCAAAAATTTTATTAAACTAAGTTTGTATAAAAAGGGTTATTATAATATTAAGGAATTTATGTATGATAGTAACCCCTGGGAAGGGTGATCGCTACCAAGCTATTTCTAATTTGCGTTGTGTTGTTAATTGTAAACATAATTGTAAGCTATTATTTGAAAAAAAAAATAGTCCCGCTGGGTTTCTTGCTGGTTCTTCCCAGGACAGAGGTTTTTTTTTGCGAACCAGTGGTAAATGAAAAAATTGACTTTCAATAAGTATTGCTTATAATCTACATTGAATAAAAAAGTTTCTGTTTCTGTAGGATTTGAACCCGCGGCCCTCACCTCTGAAACTCATTGCTATGTCACTGCGTCACGGAGTCATCATATTGTTAAAATAGTAGGCTGTGAACGTTTTTTTAACGATGAATTAAATTTAAAAAATAAAAAACTATAAAAATGTTTTAAAGTCGTAATAGCTCAAAGGCAAGCGTTCGTTGATAATTTCACAGTATGGGGACAACCTGAGTTCGACTTCCGTCGGCACCAATAAAATTGTTAATTTTAATTATAAGTGAGTAGAGTAGAGTCCGTCAACATGCATTGGGGAAGCGCGGCGATCTCCTCCTTACGCTGAAAACCCTCTCAGAAACGGGAGGAGGCCTGTTTCCAGAAGCGATCTGTATATACTTGTAGGCTGTAAATGTACTTTTATAGTTTTAAGAAACCCAAACATTTTAAAAAACTTAAATTTTCCATTATGGCCTATTTTTTATAGAATAAGGGTAACAAACGAGCACACAGTCGACCTGATGGTAAGTGGATGCTGTGGCCCATAGACATCTACATTTATCTTCGATTAAGTATCAAAACACATATGCGTTGTGACCCCTGAGGACTAAGATGGAATGCCTCGTTTCCAGTAAAAAAGGGCTATTAAAGTCCACTGCTGAACATAGGCCTCCCCCCATAGATTGCCTCATACTTGCTATAGTTGCCACGCTTCCGCGTTTTTTATTTTTAGTTGTCATTAGGAATACGCTGCTGCCTGTCTCCTGTTACACCGCCACTACAGGGATTTTTTTTATAGAAGACGGGGCAAACGAGCATGCGGCTCACCCGATGTTAAGTGACTACCGCCGCCCATGATCAACCGCAACACCAGGGATATTGCAGGTGGGTTGCCGGCCTTTTAGAAAAGAGTAAGCTCTTTTCTTGAAGGTCCCCAGGTTGTATCGGTCCGGAAAAATCGCCGGTGGTAAACTGATTCACAGAGCACGGCGGCCGAACCTGCGCCTTGTAAAGTTGCAGGCACAGTATTTCATGCAGGTGTACCGGCATGAAATACTGTCCCGCTCTGCTAAGCACGCCAAGCTTTTTAGAGGCCAATTTGGCCTTCTCTTCCAAGTGACCACGAAACTGCACGTCACTCGATATGTCGACGCCGAGGATTCCGATACTGGCTGAGGCAACAAGGGGGAGTGCCTTGAAACTGAGGAGATACGACAAAGAGGTTCTTTTTAGCGATTAACGTGCAAACTTGTGTCTTCTGGGGGTTAAACTGGACTAGATTTAGTCGCCCCCAATCCTGAGACTCTGTTCAGCAAAGACTCGACTTCAGACACAAGTTTGTCCCGGCACTCGGAGATGTTTTCCCGAGAAATATTGGCTGGGCCGGTGTAAAGAGTATCACCAGTGCTGTCATCTGCATAGCAATGAATGTTACGGGTTTGCAACATATCATTGATATGCAGAAGAAACAGCGTTGGCGATAGCACGCAGCCTTGTGGAACACCAGCATTAATAGGCTTGCAATCGAAGCTTGCACCGTCTACAACGACCTTGATGCTCCGATCTGCAAGAAAGCTGGTGATCCAATCGCACAATTTCTCAGGAAGCCCATAGGAAGGGAGCTTCGAAAGAAGCGCTTTGTGCCAAACCCGATCGAAGGCCTTCGCAATGTCCAAACTAACAGCCAATGCCTCCCCCTTGGACTCTACTGCCTCCGCCCATCTGTGAGTTAGGTAGACCAGAAGATCACCAGCTGACCGACCACGGCGAAAACCGTATTGGCGGTCACTAATCAGCTGGTCGATCTACAAGGTACCTCATGAGCTGGCAGTTTACAATGGACTCCATTATTTTGGAGAACAAGGAGGTGATGGCGATAGGCCGGTAGTTGGACGGGTTTGAGCGGTCACCTTTTTTTAGGGATCGGGTGGACGAAAGCCGTCTTCCATGATTTTGGGACTACGCCTAGGGAGTAGGAGTACCGAAAAAGATGCGTTCAAGTCGGTGCCAATGCTGGAGTACACGTCCTCAGCACAATTGGGGGAATTCTGTCAGACCCACTCGATTTGTGGATGTCCAGGGAGAGGAGTGCTTTGCGACCGAGCGCTGTGTGAACTGCACTTCCGTCATGGAGCACTCACACCGCAGGATGGTCGGCGGCGTACTCCCCCCGTCATCGAGAGTCGAGTTGGACGCAAAGAAAGAGCCTAGAAGATCGGCTTTCTCCTTTGCGGTATGGGCCAGTGAGTCGTCCTCCCTGTGCAGAGATGGAAGAGATGGCTGACAGAAATTCCCCTGGACAGCCTTGGCGAGAGACCAGAATGCACGGGTTCCAGAAGGAAGGCGAACTAGTTTCTCGCCAATTCTGCCTATATGCTCTGACTTTGCCTTGGCAATGACTCTTTTGAAGGACCTAGAGGCGGAATTATACTTCTTTTTTAGAGCGCTTGTGTTTACATCCCGGGACGCTGATGCGTCAGCCCAGGCTTGGTAGCACTCCTGCTTATAGCATGATGCTATTTTACAGGAGCGACCAAACCATGGCTGAGATTTGCCTCCAATGGGCACCACAGAAGAAGGAATAAAAAGTTCCATACCCTGAAGTACCACATCATTGACAGAATCCGCAACAACGTTGGGATCTTCCGGCGAGAAGCAAACCCGCCCAAGGGTAGGATGCAAAGAAAGACCGCATCCCATCCCAATCGGCTGACCTATAGTGCCAAACACGCCGGCAGCCTGCAGAATGCAACTGCAATTTCAGCGTGAGACAATGGTCCGAGGAGCCTAAAGGGGCGTCGACGGAAATCTGATATCCGTCCGGGTGAGAGGTCAGCAGAAGGTCCAACAGGGAAGGTGCATGATCCTCCACATCTGGAATCCGCGTAGGCGAAGTAACCAGTTGTGTCAGACCATATGCCAAGGCAAAATCATGAACAAATCTCCCCGCATGATCGGTTAAAGGTGAACCAAGCCATTCGGCGTGATGGGCGTTAAAGTCGCCGAGGATCACGATCTCTGGGGAGGGGATCTGCTGTAGCAACGAATCTGTAGCCATTTGGACGTGGTCGAAGAGTCGGTCTGTTTTGGAATTATAGCTATGGGACCTATAGAGGCACCCGTAGACGCGCGGATGGTCGTCGCTGTCTACGCGTAGCCAAAGGATGGACAGGTCCGAACCTTCAAGTCTGCCGAGGCGTCGAGAACAGATTTCCTCTCTGACGTAAACGCAAACCTATGTGCCCGAGGCACATAGGAGTGTTCCAGTTTGTACCCCGGGTAGGAGAGATCGAGACATCAGCCGGAGAGGACACCTGCGTCTCGGTCAGAAAGAGGATTTACCT